ATTCTCGGGACCAGAAACTGTCCGAAGAAAGCCCGCCATTCCGCCGGAGATATTAGGATAAGTTTCATTCATACAAACTTCGGAACAAATCTCGACCTTCGGAAACCGCCGGCCGGACAAAGTCTACGAGCGTCGCTTGAACTCGAGCAAATCGAGTTTGCCCGCCGCTGCGCCGGCGAACCAGCTTTCTGATCATTCCCAGGCGCCGCGAACTTTCTTATTCTCGTTGGTGAAGTTAAACGTCGCTGCTATGGTCGAGGCAAAATCAATGGGATCGCTCAAAACCGCTGGTAAAGCTATCCCTCCGATAGGATCGCCCCGCGGGCTATATATGTATACTCCGATTCGCGAATAACTGTCGCGTCTGACGCGATTCCTATCGAGGTAACTGGCCTTCGGCGATCGAAAGAACGAAACGCGTATGGAATATAAGGGATGTTTCAATGGTCGATCGAGTACTTGCGAGAGGGGTGCAGGTTGAGCGTGTCCCTCTGCTGGCGAATGTCGGAAGTGTCGTCGCCTAACTCTAAAATACAAGGGAAGGAATTGGGACCAACGTCGACCAGATGTTTGTCGATTCTTCTGTTGCCGGACGCTACGGGACACCGTGAACTTTACTGTTCTACTATTCGCTGTAATATCGAGCTGCGGAATTACACCGTCCAACTTTGAATGTTCCCGGACACACAAAAGGACGTGTCTACGCGCCAGGAACTCGACTCTTAAGCGTATGGAGGTATCGGGGAAAAAGTTTGGAAAGCGCCTCGTGAACAGTTCGCAGCTGTTCCTAAGTGGAGTCGGAAGCTTCGGAGTTCACGACGCACAGAAACAAGTTGGATCTGCGGAAAGGCACGAAGGGAAGGCCAGAAGAGCAAGTTCGTGGTTGGCTGGAGCGGGGTGGCACGAGAAGGTAGATGGGAACGAGCCACGGGCGGAAAGAGGGAGGGCGGGGAGAATAGGTCGATACGGTAAACTATTGTCTGGTGGGTGAAGTGTTCACGAGAACTGGGCGGAAGACGGCCTCGCGTCGGTTACGTGCATTCTCTGGTTCGCACGAAACGCAAAGATATGACGTGCTCGTCACCGCAACGATGTTCAACCGCATCCAACAAGCACCGCGCCTCTATACGCGTCCACGTAACCTTTTGCGCCTCCACCCTCGATCGATACCGGCGTATCGGTCGTCGTATCGTTACCGACCGGGCACGTCCAAACAATTCTAAACGCTTTGTTCGGATTCACGCTCGTGTCTACTTTCTTATCGAACCAACTAGTTCCCGACTATTTTCTTAAACGTTGCTTCTAGACTTGCGCGAGAATATTTCGAAAGGATCTATAGTTTACATCGCATTTTCTACGAAAATTTGAATTATGTCCGAATTAATCGAACTTTGTCCGTGATATCGTTTACGAGAAAGCGACAAATTAAAACGAATTTGTGGGACCCGAACGAGCATTCCAGTGACGCCCTCTGCAACAGCTATTTGGCGGGAGTGTCGACGAAAGACTTGGATCGAAAAAAAGAAACGAGGGAAATTTACTAGGAAATCAACTAGCCGAATAGATTAGGACACGTAACGTAGAATTTCCGCGAGTTTTCGAGAATTTGGTCTCTGAATGCAGATCCACGCCAGTCCACAACGTACGCAAACGCGGTTTGGCATGTGGCGGTGTACGACTATCCTACGGGGGAGTATGTTTACCCCGATTGTCGTTGAGGGATGGAGAGGTAAACACAATTCCACCCTACCACCTTGTTCTGTTCGTTGCGTATATATTCCGTGTCTGTCTTCGTCTGTGTTCCATAGCCAGCAACGTTGCCACGAGTTTCGCGTTTCGATCGTGAAACTAACCTTTATGCCGACCAACGATAATTACCGTTCAGATTGAACGAGTCAGGCTCGACCAATGAATTAACATTCTATGGGGAAAAAAGTGCTCATTTCCGCGATATTTTTGAAGGAACACGCGTTACGACTTCGGTTCTTGTTTCTTTCGACAAGATTGACCGTACTTTCGAAGCAACCAGGTAGCTCTCAACGTTCGAAAACGATCGTTTCGCGTAATTCGAAAGAACAGAAGTTATCGCGGAATTGATCGCGGATCGCAAAAAATTACGCGATGGGGAAAATGATCGGCTGGAAAAACGGAGTAGAAATGATTTTGCAAGGCGGAACGATCTCGCGTCAACCATTACCGAACTGGTTAAACAGGTTATCAGTTTATAGCCACCGTAAAGAGATTTTAAATTTCGCGGCACATACTCGTGCATTCCGCGCCATCGTCTTTTTTCTCGCTTTTCGGTCGTTTCGCGTCGAGTTCATAGCACTCGTACATACACAGGGGTTCGTTAATTCTTGCCGTTTGAGGGGAATATGGCACGCCGAACGCAGCGATGGTAGATTTAAAGAATTCCTACCTCAGCACCGCTCGCGGTGGAGCGAAGAAACTCAGCTTGCCATAACTCCACTCTATACAATAATACTCTTTGGTAGCTTCGAACAAGTTACGAAGAATCGAACAATTTCTACCTCAGCACTGCACTCGTTTGCTACTGGTACTAAGCAGTGGTTGTAGCGTCGAAAACAGAGAACTATTTCTCTACAAACTTGTGCATTTTTCAGTAGATGGCGGTGCAATCTTTCGTACAGCAATGCACTCCTTCTTATTATAAAAATAAGCTTTATGCACTTTGTTGATGGCGGCGAACTTTCTATAGATAAATTAAATCGATAGGTTGAAATATTAGATTAAGAATTTTCTTCTTGTCCAAGATGATTTCATACTTACCCAGGACGACTCTGCTATCAGAGTACGGCATTCCCTCGCTAGTCGACTGGAGTTGACCCCGCCTACAAGACGCAGAGACATCGGCATTTCTTTTCTCGAGCCATCGATTCATTATGTTTTTTATTGCATCTTCCAGACAGCCTTACCAATGGATTACCAAAGTTTCTTTAATGAAAATAAATCCAGACCCTATTTTAATTGTTTATCGTTACTTGTTAATACTTCAGAATCCTTGTCGTATTTAGATTCATTTTCATCGGGGAAATCTCATCAATCCATCGATAACACTCTCGAAAGAATACAATGAAAAATGTAACAAATTAGTTTGCTCGGTCTCGTTGTATTCTATTCGGTTCCAACGCTTCCTAATCGGCATCTGGAAGGACCCGAATTCTCGTCAATAAACGAACCATTGCTGTTCATCTCTGCGCGGGCAATTCAATTTTGTCCATTACACTTGACAAACAGAAAGGCAAACTATTTTTCGCGTTAAATGAAATCTAAAAAAAAGGAAACATTTCGTACACGAAACTTCGAATCAGCGTGAATCGTACAACTTTTGTCCGCTGAAAATGCTCGAGCAATAAAAAGATCGTTCGTGGTAGATATTTTATTTCCAATTTAGGAACTGAAATGCCCATATAATAAAAAATATTTTGTATCGTATAATAATAATAATTATTATTATTAAATTGGGAAACTAGGTGTTACGCTAAAAAGTCACTTGCCAAGTATACAAAATGAAGAGAAAATTCGCAAAAGAAAAAAAAAACGAACATAGACTTTTTTTTTCAGATTTTCTTTGAATATTAATCGTTTCTCTAATTTTCTCCGTCTTCCTTGCTGCGTTCCCATTCATACATATTTTCATCGCACATCTTTCACTCTCTCGCGCTACAATTCGAGAATATAAAACAATCACGGTAACAAAACAAAAAGAGGAATATTACATAAAAATCTTCCAGGTACGGAATTTTTTGCACTTCCGTGTTTTCCTTTCTTCATCGTTTAATCGTTTAAACTGTCATTCTACTATCTTTCTTACTCTCTTTCTCTCTCCGTCTCACGCTAATTGATAAAGGGCTCGTTAAAAGCACATATAAACGACCGTCGTCATCGTTCGATTTTCAAAGTCACTATCTAAGCAGTTTTTATGGCACGTATTCTCGTACAAGCCCTTCCTATCTCTCTGTTCGATCCCGTAACAAATGAAAAGAAAAAAACTCCTCTTCGTGCAGTTTCCTTTGTCCTCGTCGATTTCGAACCACGCGGGGAATTATCATCGAATCGCAACATTAAACGTTCTATCCGTCTTTTATATACACGCACTCGTCGAAATCTGAAGTCTCTTTTTTTTACCTACGGTACACCAGACTCGGGACGCGAGGATCGATAGATCCCGGGTATTTTTCGCGCTGTGGACCGTCTCCGTTGATTCCCGATCGCATCCGCGGAGAATTTCGAACAAAAATACACGAAACGCGTTTCGTTGGAAATACTTTTTGCAACACAGCACCGTTCGACCAAGAGAGGATCACACCGCGATATAAAAACAAAAAAAAGAACAAATACTTGGACGAGAATTCGTTGTCGTAAAAAAAAAAAAAGAAATACACGATAACAATACACGTGCTCGTTTCACGTCCTGTCGACACGAAATAATAATAAAAAAAGAATAAGAAAAAATACGATTTCTGATTCTGTAACGCGTCGGGCGTCGCCGGAAGACCTCACCGAAGAAAACTAAAACCGCTTCGTTCGCTTCGCTTTCGCGAACACAAACTTATCGTTGAAAGACATCGATATAGAAATTCTTGATTTTGCTAGAACGGTCAGGCGAAGACCTTCATACACTCTTGTACGTACACGTCTTAGGGTTACGAATGCTTTAACGTTATCTGATATTTATTTTTGTTATTTTCTTGTTTTTTTTTTTTTTGCTTTAGCTTTCTTTATCAGAGAAGTATCCTAAAACGAACAAATTCTACCGATACGTCTACGTTTAACATGGATATACCGTCGTCGGTGTTATATTTTTTTTTTTCTCATTTTCCTTCTCCATTTCGAAATGTCGGTGGCCCGCGATGTTCGGTCGCGCGCATCTCTAGAAATCAGTCGATCATGGATGGTGCTCTCGTTAACCGAAAGTATTGGTAAAAAGAAAGATTCGTATTTTCTCTCTCGCGCTCATATTTGTTTCTTTTTTTCACTCTCGCCGTTGATCGGTGATATCGTTATGTATATGTATATCTATACACATGTACGTCGACGAAAACGAAAACGTGCTTGTCAGCTTTTTCCTTCTTCCTTCTTTTTTTTTCTTTTCTTGTCTAAATGTACAAAAGACTTCCTCTAAAAAAGTATTCTGCAAAAAATATTGCGTTGCACCCTAGCGAAGAATATATTTATACAGCGATACGACTATCGTTGGCCACACAAAAGTCAGACAGCCTGTACACACTTGCTAAACCTTAACACGTTTTTTTTTTCTTACGTAAAATGTTGAAAGATACAATGCATGGGAGAGGAGGAGGAAAGAGGGGAGGAAGGACTTTTTATCTAGCTTAACGGATACGTGATTATATACATTATATACATTCGTCTCGTTGCTAATAACACCGCGTTACGTGCACTTATTATTGTTTAGAACTGACTACGGATCGGTGTGTGTCTGTGTCTGTGTGTGTGTTTGTGTACGAGTATGGTGATCGCGCATGCTCTGTGTGTGTGTGTGTGTATGCGTGTGTCAAGAGATACAATGAAAATTTGTCTAAACTTACACGGTAGAATAGGGTTCTCGCGATCGTTATACACTACGGTAAGATTTATCGTTATACAATAAACAATTATACGTTTTGACGATCCGTCGGCTAAACATCTCGCAATATACACATATACATATATTCATTCATTTATATGTATATACATATATGTATTTATTTATTTAGTTATCACATCGCACGTTCGAAATGAAGGAATTCTGACCCTACTATGCGAAAGAGAATCGAATTTAATCTCCCTGGAGAATCTGTGTATACAAAAAATGAAATACAAATACGAAAACAAAATAAAAAGAGAAACACGTTGTCCAACCTAGTCTGATCGCCCCCTCGCAAAGATCGCGATAGAATTGAACGTAAAAAAGTCGTCTTATTTTCGTATGGAAAGAGTCGAGAAACTGCCATTCGTCGCCCATCCAACGAGTACAGCATCTCCTTTTTTTGATCGTTATCACAGTGCTTTAGTACGCTCTTTTCCCCCCTTAAATATCGAATACTCTATCGAAATATACATATATATATAAAAAAACAAAAAAAATGAAGAGAAGAATTAAAACAAGACCGAAACATTGTTTCTCTCCGATTTACAACGAAGTTTTATGTCTCGTATTATTGTTACATATAAAAAATTACTACCTAATTTATTGCATAATATATGCACGTACACACCTATTCCACTGTAAATTATTCGTTCGCCCGTTCGAACTTCCACAGTCTCCGCTTACTTGCATTCCTATGGTTTAAACTGTTCTCTCTCACTCTCACACAGGGGTGTCCGGCAATTCGTGGAAGATGGCCCTTCGCTTAAAAATAAGTTGAAAATTTGTTCGTTGAAAAAAAAACAAGAAAGTTTCTCGCGCTGGAAAATGCAAACGATTTTGTCAATGGTACATTTTCATATAGTTTCAAAGCAACACTATTTCGTTATATGTACAGTTTTATAGCCAATAAAAAAACAATTTCAACGATATATCACAATACGATCTCCAAGGCAACCTAACCTTCGAAAACATAACCTTTGATGCGTCGACTGCCACGCTAACTTCGAGCTATCTTCTGTGTACTCGATACCTGATAATCTAATCCTTATCTCGTCTAATTTAAGCTGATGACTCGTACCCAAAAATATTTATAAAAGCAAACGTAACGTATAGAGATTATACGTTCCTTCTTTGTCGGAACAGACTGTATGATTAACTTATGTGAATCTGCAATTTTTAACCATTTGCACTCCAATGGCGTACTCACGGAGGCGTGTAATACACACTGCGCTCGATTCACGTTTTATTTACGACAACGCAAACCGAGTTAACGAAACAAACGAATAAAATGTAAATTATATTCAGAATTGACGCCACAAAATTGTTTTCAAGTCCTTGCGTTAAAAAATAGTTCTCTGGAGTGCAAAGGGTCGATCGAAAAAAAAGAAAAACATTAAGAAGGCTGCAACTTATTTATCCGTGCAACCTTAACTTTGTTCAGACTGATTCTAAGAACAGATACTTTATCCTTTTAACCCTTTCTATACCAGCATAAACAATGGCTTCTGCTTTTTTGGTATAAAATTTGGTATAAAAATAAAAAGAGAACACACAGGGTGTTTTTGCTTTCCGATAATACACAAAACAATATAAGGGAAAAGTTGCACAGTTCCAAAAACAAATACCATCTATCTTAAACCTCCCCCTAAAGACGTTCACAAGGAATCTTTAAAACGGGGCACTCGCGCTGGAGCAACGAAAGGGTTAAAATTCACTCTCGATCGGGTAAATTAAAAAACGATCGACGGGGCAGTCAACGAGTTACCATTTGTAAAAAAAAAAAAACCTCACTTTCCACTTATTTTCGGGTCGGAGGGATCATAATCGCGAACAACCGGAACCACGGGGAAGAGTGTCCGAAAGACGACGTTGTAACGATGGTCGAGAGGCTCGTTAAAACCATAACGCGATACGCGCTCACCAGCATCCGGTCGCGATTTCACTCCAGAAACTGTCTTTATTGACACGCACGAGGAAGCTCCCCCGTTGAATAGATTCTTGAATTGAAAATAGATATTCGAGGCGAGGAAACCCGACGGATCTTTGTCTTTAGAAAGGAGACCGACGTTATTCGCTAGTACGTCGGGAGAAGCTACAATATGAGATCCCATTGTCTACTTAGACGTTGGGGCAGTCGGCTGGTTCTGCCCCGCCATCCCCAGTCTTGGTTGCGAGGAAGCAAGTAACTCCTTGTAGTACGCGCTGAACTCAGGCGGTAGAAACGAAGTGGTGGCCGTGGGCGGCATCGGCGGCGGCGGGAACAAACCGTTGTAGAACGCGGAATAGTACATCGGGTCCAAAATCGGTAGGAACTTGCCTGGCGTGTTCGTTGGCAGTTGCGGTAGATAGGCTGGATTGCTTTGCGGCACCGTTGGCACGTAGCCGGACGGTATGCTAGGAACGCTGTGTCGTCTTCCAGCCTCGTTTTGCCTCGACTCCTGTTGCTGTTGGTGCTGGTGTTGCTGCTGGTGCTGGTGGTGGTGGTGTTGCTGACCGATCAACGACTTGTCGCCCTCGCTGATACGACGGTGCTGATGGTGTTGCTCCTTGCCGCTCGTTTCTACGTTTTTTCTTCTGTCTATACTGATCTGTTGATGCATGGCCGTCTGCATCCTCGGATAGGAGTTACCGCTATTCAAATGATTCAGGTTAGGTACGTTCGGTATGACAGGATGACTGATCGGTTTCCTGGGCGTGTACGGGGAAACCGGCTCGCTCCTCGACGTCGAGTACCTGCCGTTCACCTGTTGCCTTCTTTGCGCCGGCATCGCGTTATTCCTATTAGGTGGACTCGGCACGCGCACCGTCGGCGGCGCGCTCGCGTGATTGTTCTTCTGCTTGGGGTTCACGATCGTGATCTCCAGGTTGTTCGAAGCCATGGTCCGGCTGTCCAGCACGTTCTGGTAGCCCGGGAACGCGTTCCGTTTCGTACAGTCGGTCGGTTTATCCTTAGCCGCGGACGAGTTCCTCATCTCCAGATTCAATGGATTAGGCCTCGGCACTACAGGTACTTTCACTATTTCTAGGCTCGGCCTCGGGAACACCGACTTATCGCCGTACTTTTGCGTCAGATCGAGGACCCCGCCGTGCGCGATCGGCTCGTTGTTGTTGTTGATCGGCGGCTGGTGCGGCAAACGGTGCAACGACGGACGATACTTCGGAGGGCTGAGTATATCCTTCGGGTCTCCGTACACCATCTTTTCGTTGTGCGCGAATATCGACCTCGACTGCGTCACCTTGGGCGGGAATATCCTGCCGTTCGGCACGGTCGGTGGTACGAAACGATGGTTCGGTTGGTGGATCGCCGAGGACGCCGGCGGCGGTACGTTCGCGTTCGCGTACAGCTGCAGCAACGCCGCGTTGTTCGAGGTACCGAGATTTATCACGCGGCTGTTCACCACGTTGTTGTTGTTCACCGTGTTGTTGTTGTTGTTGTTGTTGTGATGGCCGGGCGGTTGTTTGCTCGGTACTTGCAACCGTGCTTGGTGATGGGGGTGCTGGTGTTCCTGCGGCGACGACAACATGTGCCCGATGTCCGGCGTGACGGTAACGGAAATCAATTTCGGAATGGAATTTGGTGTGACTGGAAGCGGGTACGATATCGGCGATTTCTCCTCGGACCTCATCGTCGCCGGCGCCGGGGGATTGCTTTGGATCACGCTCGGTCGCGTGTCCAGGTCGACGGCAGTGACCTCGAGACCGCCCTCCCGCAGAATCTCGAGTTTACGTTTCTTAAAGCTGGGAATGATTATTTTATCCCTACTCGTGTCGCTCTCCGACTCCAAGTCGATCACCTCGGGCGACCTGGGAGGCACTATCGCCTTCTCCGCGAATATCGACTTCTCGCCGAACAACGGTATGTTCTCCTTGCCCTGCGCCAGCAACGTGGTCTGCTTCTGATCCAGCTTTATCTCCTTCATGTCCTTCTCCGGCGGCGGGGTTAACGTTACCACCGTAGAGGCATTCGTTGCTACAGTGGTCACCGGTAGACCCGGCGGCGAACACGACGGTGGCACTTGCTGCGATATCAGAGGACTGTTCAGCTGCCTCTCGAGTACGCTTTGGCTCCCGGTACCGTTCGTGGGCGTCGTGGAGGGTGTACTGCTCGGCGTTGAAATTGACGTGTTAGAAGAAGGTGGCGGACTTGGCAGTTGGCTAGTTTGCTGGCTGGGCGATGGCGTGCTATTGGCGATCATAGTGTTCAACGACTTCAGGCGTTCTGGCTTCACTCGTACGCTGCGCAGAGACGACGTCTTGCCGGTTTCCGTCTTCGGTTTCTCGCCCGAAAGGAACGGCTGTAAAGAACAAAAATATGTAAATTATTTCTGGTTTAAAAAACTGAACGAACATCAATCAAATCGCACTGTCTCGACTATACTCACGGTCGTTACGATTTGTTGGAGGGGAGGAGTCGTAGCGGGAAGGTTTGTTTCCGCGGGTGGAGGTGTTTCCGATGGGTAGAGGTCGTTGGGTTCTTGCTTAACGTCTTCGGACTCTTCGGACCCGCTACTCGTTTTAGTACGTCTTCCAAGAGTCAGTCTCACTTTCGCTTCCTCGCCCCTTTGGTACTTCTCGTAGGGTAACAGTAACCTATTTAACAACGTCGAGAATGCTGTTCGATAAAACTGGCCGCGAACGACGCTATGGATCTCGATTAAGATACGTCACCTTTCGTAATGTCGACGAGTAATGGTCGCGGCGCTCGTGTTCCCCGTATTGCCGCCAATGTCGTCGTAGATGGTCTTCCAAAGACGACCGGCGCTGACGGAATCGTAACCACCGAGCATCTGCACTTTCGTATAAAACAGGAAGAGATCGACTGCAAATAAAATAATGATCGTTATTCCGATACGTCGTATCCCAACGACGATGTTCTATCTACACGTTACTTGTCAAAAGGAAACACTGCTGTATATCAGCTTCGAACAGTACCAATCACTGTTTCAATTTAATCGACAATGAACAAACGTTTCTAAAACTGACAAGGAGGAGTTGTACCGGTAGGGTCGTCAATTTCAATCAACCTTCTTTCTGGTGTATCTAGAGCGCAAATAGAAGGAATAGGGTTCCACCACGAGCGTGGCTACGGTTGCAATGTCTCTTGTTTCGAACGGTGTTTTATCGTTGTCTTTCTAGATTCGACGAGAAAGAAGCTGATCGCGATCGACGACTCTGCCGCAGCGACTTCTTCTCGTCGGTATGTGCTGCCTAAAAAGCATCTAAACATTGGCGCCAATCGTTGAAAAAAAAAGCACAGATACTGACTCTGCTTGTAGCCCAGCAGTGGCATCTTTCCGACAGGCGTACCCCGCGAATTCATGAAACTCTGCACGTCCGTGAGGAACTTCTTTTCCTCCGCACTGGTCTTCCGCTCGCTTCGCCGTACCACGGACGACGGTGGTCGGCCGACGTTCGATACCACCAACGTCGTCGTATTTGGTGGCACGCTTTTCGACGTCGACGCCACCGACGCCTCGCTTTCATTGCTGGACTCCCCGGGCGACGCGCTGCGCTTTTTACGCTTCCTCCTCGGCCGCCCCTTCAATTTTGGCGCTGGAAACAGAACGAGCATGCCTACTTAACACACTAATTAACTAACTAGCCAGACACGACCCCGTCATTTTTAAAAATTATAAAAGAAAACCCCCCTTTTCAACGACGTAATACAGGGTGGTCCATAACTCCGTTATTATTGCATTTCCGAAAAAATGCCAAAGGAAAAAGATAAATAGTTCGAAGAGCACTACATCTGTAGGCCTTTAAATTTTTTTTATTTGCAGCAGTGCGTGTGCGATTAACAATTGCATCATTTCTTTAAATAGAAATGCATATTTTTTTTTATACCGATCGATTCTTTTGTTCATTCTACGTAAAAAATGATTAGGGTACCATGGTCAAAAAATTATTAGATCTCGAGATATTTTCAAAAAATGTCTTTATCGAAGAAGATGCTCAAACGGCGTGGACCACCCTGTATAGTATAGTATAGAAATTATTATATTAACCCTTTGCACTCCGAATTATATTTCAATTTTGTTACCAGCGGCTCCCAATGCTTTTAAGAGTTTTATTTGAAATTTACCTGTTAAAAATAAGTGTTTTATTTACACTGTTGTTGTATTTTGTAATTTTCAAGTGTATGATATACTGTTTGGTTTGGACTTGACGAAGGAGCTTCTGAGATAAAAATCGATGTCGAGTCACAGTCGACATAGGAGTGCAAAGGGTTAACAAACGTATCAATATAATACTGTTAATTTTAATCGTGGAAATACCAAGTAAATATTCACGATAATGAACGAAAAATGGAAAACGCGTGAAATTGCAACGAGATTCCATGTAGTCGGTGGACGGTATTTTTTCCTCGATAGGAACGGTTACAAGAGTGTTTGTTTTTACGCGAAGCAAAGGACTGACAGTCACGCCGGTATTGGATGACAAAATAATTTCGCGCGGTTTCCGCTTCGGTTGGAAAGACTATTAATATTCACGGTTGCGTGACTTTTCTTAATTTATCTAATGGACAGAAATTACATGTAAAATATGAATACAAAACGACGTGTTTCGTTTCGTTAACGAGCGTGTCTATAATTTTACGTATTCCGGAATATTATCGCCGTGGAAGAATTGATCGTAAATGCGTTACAGGAAACATTGTAACGCAGAAACATTGTAAACTAAATCGTACGCGCTTATATGACATGTTTTTCAAGGCAAATATTCAAGATTCGTGAAATGGAAAATTAATGTATACGATTACATAGTTTTGTTGCATGAATTACAATTGTTTGAGCCAGAATGCACGGTAAATAACGTTCCAACAATTACCGGGACTCATCGATTAATCAGAAAACGTAACGACAGTTTGCAACTAGTAATTTATATTAACGACCATTCGCAGTTCGCCCACCGAGCAACTGTAATACAATATTAATATAGCCGAAAAAAATACACGGTTCTATAGACCAGAGATGTACAAAATTTTATAATAAAACCAATGTATAAGAATTTATTCGATCACTAATATATCAATCATCATTGTCGAAATATTACACGTGTATATCGTCTACGAAACAATAGTGCATTAATGTTAGTCACTTGCCTGGTGTCTGCACCGCACGCACGTGTTCAGCTACGCAATAACTTGGCACACAAAGGGTGTCAAATTCTCACAACAAAATGATTCACGGTACTCACCGATTACTTTATAATACACGATTTCGTTCTTCTTGATTTTCATCACGATCGTCATGCCGTTTATCGCGAACGAAAGTCAGGCGTCGAACCGTTTAAGAACACGGTCACAAACACGCCTTCCTATCGCGGCGTTCTTCAGAAAAACTCGACGTATAAAACACGGTTTAATCCGCACTTCTAATCCGACAACAGATTCTTCCCAGAGTCTCGATCCGGATTACGATCGTCTTTTCTACGGCGAAACGGCACGTCGACGACAAAGCAACACGGCCAACGGAAAATCGTGATGCTCTCTCGCGTGGACGTTTCTCGTTATGATTCTGTTTCTTTAACGATCGTCTGCTGCGGTGATCGCGCGCGCGGAAATCCGCGGTCGGTAAACGATCCTCCAAATCGTCGCGATTAGTTCCCAGCCGCGCTGTTCTTTTCGCGCGGCGACGTTTCCAACGCGGGGCTTCCCCGTCCGAATATTTACTCGGTTCATTTAATTCGAAATACTCGCCGCGCGCCGTAACGTTGTTTAATTATCAAACGAAACACGACAAGCTTTCGAGCGACAGCTTGACACGTTTTGCGAACAACTGCATTATAATGCTAATGTTCGTTGAAACGCGTTTCGGTATGCTCGAAGGTGGGATGCACTGCATACGACCCACTAGCTTTAAATTCACGCGGCCTGATTCTGACAAGCGGTCGGGAAAAGAGAGACGCGCCATTTTTATTTTCACGTTACTCTCATGTAACGATTTTTCAGATTTTTTAAAACTTGTGTGGACAAATATAATAACGGTACATGCGACTATCAATTTATGTAAGACGAGTTGTGGTCGGTGATCGGAACCTACCTAGGTGGTTGCAGAGGAGTTCGTGGGTTTCAAGGTCTGGGTAGTCGAAGGTGTCCCTGCAGAAGAGTACCCTGGTGCCCGGTGTGGCTGTGAATCCGCCCAGCGCGGCTGCTATGGAGGAGCAAAGCCAGGACGGTTCGGCGCCCTCGAGCCTACGCAGAAGCGCCCGATATCGACAGTACCTGGGGTACGAGAGCACCACCACTTTCGTCTGGGCGCCACACTCTGTCCTCCTCGTGTTATGATTTACTTCGTACTCCTTTTGTTGCTTGTCGACGTCGGAAAAATCGATGCCGGGGTCGGTGAGCACCTGCGGCTGAGGTATTTCGTACCTCAGCGGGCTGCTCTCCGGGGACGACGTAGGTGTTGGTGGGTAAGATACCTCCCGACCCCACGACCATTCCAACGCCGGCGATAACCACGTGACGAGATCGTTCACGCGGACCACCACCTTTTCCGATATCGTCAGCACCTCGTCCTGCAATCAGACAAATAGTTTTTTTCACCAAACGGTACATTCTCTTTATCGTTGGTCGGTAAATTATGGGGTTCTGTTTTATCCATGGGGAAAAGTCTGCTTTATCGACTAAACTCCCGTGCACCAGCGCGTACCAGGCTCCCATCGACAGGTGGAGGCACGTGTGGTGCGCGTTGCGAGACTTCCGGCGATCTGACCCCGTACCCCTACCACTACATAGGTATACTATACTTACTTATCGCGAGTGGAGCTAAAACACCTATGTGCTCGTTATGTATACACATAATCCAGCCAACGTAACTCGTGGTTTATGTTGTACCTCGAGTGCATCGTTATCTACTCTGCCTCGACGATAATTTAATTGTCCGCTGATGCCAGCGGCGACGTCATTTTCGCCAAGTTTGACCCAACTCTTGGGACCTGCTGATTTGTGGGATGTAATTCTACATGCGTGGACGAAGCGACGAGAGGCTAAACCTACCAAAAAACATTTGCTCAACGAATCGAATCAAATCCTAGTCCTGTGCTTGGAACACCTACGAATAATAACACAACCTGAGCTCCCCGAACACGTGTAGCGATTAAAAACGAGTCGATAAGTAACTGGACGTGCACGCGACAGGGACCAGTCCAGAGCAAGTTCGCGCCGGGCACCAATTACTCGCATTCGCGTGTATCGTTGCAATTTGCCGGTCGAGCAACATTTCTAAGGGCCCATAAATTAAAAATCGGGCACGAACTTCGTCTGGACAAGTATCGCGCGGGCTCAGGTGCCGTCGTAAGTCATCCGGGGAAAGGAAACGGCAGCCAAATGCTTGACCCCTTCTTTTCGTCGGTCCTCGGGACCGGGCCCCCGGCCAAAATCAGATCGCCATTATATTTGGGCCCGGAAAGACCACGTTGAAGAGTCTGGATTCGACTAGCGATGAAAGAGCCCCGAGCCAAGCAAAACAGTCGGGTTCCTATCTTCCGCGCCAGCTGAGTCAGCCGCAAGAAGCTGGACGAATATCTGGCATAGTCTTTCGTTGCTTGCACGCGCGATCATGCTCACAAATCGATCGATCGGGTTAACAAATGTTTTTAGCCGGAAAGCAGTCCACCGTCGGTGTAACCGGCCCATCAATTAGTTGTGTCAGTTGTTTAAACCAAACGGTAGGCTGTTCCGATGAAAAGCAATCGTTTCATCGATTTGTTACCCCGAATAGCACGAAACCCGTATGCAACTATGCACGTTCTGTTTGGGAGTCGTTGACGATCGGGTTAAGGTTTTTGTAAATCTTGTATGGCGTTTGAAATTACAAGGAAAAATCGAGCGGAATAACGTCCTATTTAGCGCGGGGACATTATCGCGCGTTATACTTTGTCGGGTCGTTCGGTGTTGTTGAATTGATAGGTTATCGGTGTGTTTAGGGTGGCAGAGCGAGTCCCCATAGCAACGTCGGAATACATTTCCACATGATTCCGTGCATACTGTCCACGCCGTGGGTTTGGGGTTAGATCTGCGCGTGTGTCCGTGCCAACATTCCCTCTACCTTCTGGCACATTGCTGCCCTTACACACGTGCACCCCTCGCTTTCCTCTGTTCTACTCTTTCTCCCCCTTCCCACGCGGCCCCTTTAATCCCTCCCCCTCCTCCAGATACACATCTCGGATATGTGCAGTCAAGGGGAATCTCGGGGTTGCATAGAGTTTGTCTCATCTTCTCGATGCGCGGACGAGGTTGGCCCAAATTTTCGAGGCATAAAACAGCTGTTTGTCGTATCCTTGCTCGCCGCTACTTTGTCGAAACCACCGGGAATTGTAACGATTTAGCGTGAAAAAATCGACGAAGCCATCGCGAGGTACATTGTATCGTTTCGAGGAATTGTAAACCCCTCGAGGATGCAATTTCGCGGTCGAAACGTAGCCGGGCCCCCGTTGAATTGAATTTTCCAAGTGCACACCGTGGCGGAGGGGGGTTTGTTCGAAACACGTTCGAACCGTTCCGCGATATTTATACGGAATTTATGAAACACCCGTCGAGCCATTAATAAAACGTTAACTTCGGCTGCCTTTCCGCGTTCGGTTTCATTAAAAATTTAAATGGCCGAGCGAAAATTTACTTATGCGTACGCACGAAGCGACTCGGCACGGGTTGTAAATCGCCGCCGGCTTTCGACGTTCGGCAAACATAACTGACCGCCTTGATTCGAGTGCTGTTCGTCGTCGGGCACTCGTAATTGGCTGGACGGAAAGAGTGTGTATAGCGTGAGTATCCCCGTAGGGGGTGTTGGGTCCTGGGAAAGGATCTGGGTCATCCCGGTAGACGTTCGTTGTTTGGGATTCTTGCTCCCACCCCGGCCAAGCGTACCCTGAGCTCGGTTTTACCGGCGTCGGAGCATACGGAGCAAAAGGGAGAAAAGAAAGGTAAGTCTCGTTCCAAAGAATACTCTGTATTCTTCAGGATTTAGCAGAATGGGAACAAACGCGTCGAAACGTGAACTAAAACACTTTTTAAATCAATTCCAAATAGTTTCGGTTGGACGAAATATTAAATAAGGCAAACGAGAAAGACCTGTTCGGAGGATTTCATTAATATCTCGAGAAATCAATAATGGAAGGGGGGCAGCAAGTGTGTAGCAAGAAGAACGAAGAGTCCGACAAAGTCAATACAACTGGAGAGAACCCTCCTAGGAAATCAGGACGATAAATACGCGAAAGGGGGAGGGAACAGAGGCACACGTGTCGGTGAGATTTTTCTTTTCCTCGGATGCTCTCGGTTACCAGGTTCCGGCTCTGTTGTTTTCCGCCTTGTCCCCGCGATTAAGACCGAAGGTTTGTTTTCGGAATCGTGATTCGGGGGTGGAGAACGCGACGAGTCGTGCCGGAAGCTCGACGGAGACGGAGAACTCGAAGGAAGCGAGAGACAATGAGAGGAAACGAGCTGCTACGTGACCAAGAGAGAGAGAGAGAAAGAGAGACATCCATGGCCAAGTTAGCGATGGGAACGACGCCCTCGCAACTGGTGCCAATGGTTTTAAAGCAACTCGTTTGTGTTCTTAACCGACGTCGGCCAATATTGATCATTAGCCGAGAACCAACGGTTTCGGGTCGGCCACGAACCGCCGTTTTGTCACCAGAGTTCGTTTAAGCATCGACCCCCAGGATCCGCTTAACGCTAGTTCGGACGAGAAATGGCACTTTCTGCGAGGTACCATCCGGAGGACGCCATTTAGGGCGACCCTTGCACCGAAAATATCGGTTTAACGAAGCAAACTGTTTGCACAGAAATGGCAAGAATTTTAATAATAATATAAAAGATACGCCGTTGCAAATTCAAGGGGCAAAGTTTGCACTACCGTGGACGTTTACCTGTTATTAGCGAGTGGAAAAAATGACGAGAACATTTGTCCAAGGTTTGTTAGCCGAACGGAATTGCCCTGGTTGCGCGATTCCCCGTCTCTGAACGGCCATTAAAGAGTGGCGTGGATGGATTAAGTCCTGTCCCAGGATGGGGTTAACAACCAATATCAGGGGATGGGATGAAAAGGGTTCACAGTTAACTGCTAAACCAGCGAAAAGATAGGGTAAGACGACTCGGGGAATGTTTTATGGCAGAGGTCCAAATGATGTTTGCGGCTCGAGAGAGAATACTAAGAATTGTTAATGAACCTCTCCGGGTGGGTGTATCAGGAAAAGTAATTTGGAGTTTGCGTAATTCCCTCCTTCCTCCATCTACCCTCCCTCTTTAAAGCTGGGAATAACGTTCAAGTTTAGAGGCCAATCATTCCCATTCGTGCCAAGGGAGGAGCGTTTGGTCCGCTAAATTGAAATCAGAAAAATATGTATTTTTTTATCAAAATCCATTTTACCCGTTCGACGGCTAGTAAATTGTTGTTACATTGTTCCGTCATACGATTATTGCATCGACGTTCGATATAAATTTCGCATTACCGTTCATAAATTACCCTCGCGACTGGGAATTCAATTAAATTTTACAGCAAATACCGCGTCCTCCTCCACCGATTGGGCCGCCGCGACCGTTTTGATTAATTTCCCGGGCGAAAAATAATAAATAACACGCGAAATTGTTTATACCGCGCGTATTAATTTGCCCCGGCGTACGATCGATGTTACGAACACGGCCGTTCGATCTGTTTGTTTCGAGAGTGAGCATCGTTTTAATAACGATATCGCGCGCGACACGACGGGCCTTAATGCTTTTCCGTGTAACGCGACTCGCCCCCCCGTCCATTTACCGAGCGAAATTTATTACATTAAACGTAATAAACGACTTGTATACTACCAAGCATGCCCAGCGTGATATTATTATCGTAGCCGGGGAAAACTTTCTATCTATCTGGGTAATCTCATCTTGTGCCCGCCACCTCCTTTATCTCTTCGTCTTTCACTCAACTTCTTAAGTAGTCTTTTGTAACTTAAATTAAAATAGACGTCAGGAAGTATTCCTTGGACGACATGCAGCCCACGGACCAGATAGACGAAAGAAATCTCATAGTCACCGGAGAAATATAGGGTGTCCCTTTACAAACTGGACACCATAGAACCGCCATTTTACATAGTAGAAAGCACCGTTGCTCTCTTGCTTCGAGAGGGAATCCAATATGGCGGATTGTTTGTAGGTTAGGTCTGGGATATACGGAACGTCCGATTAACTCCAAACTTTAAAATTAAAATAAGCAACTGTCCGAACAATTCAGTAAATAAAATTCAGTAACTTTAGTAATTTAGTAACTTTAATTCAGTAACTTTAGTAATTTTTAAAATGATCGTTATTTCAGGCATTATTATTACTCCTAATAAAATACAGCCAGGGAGAAATGGCGGTTTATTCGAGTGTTGTAGCTACGAAAAAAAAAACGAATAATTAACGTAGCAATTTGTTAATGGGTTAAATAGATCGTTGGGCAACGATGCTGTTATTAGAAACCGATGATCGCTAGGATGGAGTCAAGGGTGAAAAGCCACGGGTAAACGAGAAGAAACAAAATCCCAGAGAC